CATACATTTCAAAAAAGCATTGTTAAATCACAAATTATACAAATCTGTCATATACTGCATGAGATTAATCATTAATGTTGTAGTTGTACTATTCTAAAAGAACAAGTTGTGTTTGATGGCTTCAAATATTATTAATGCTGTCGCTCTTAATGCTCTTGATTTTCTACCTCACATATTTTACAATTTAGAGATGAAATACTGCAAAACAAAACAAAACTGAGAGAAATGGGTAGTTGACTGGAGAGAAGTTGAGAGGAATATAAACTGTGGCTTCATCAGGAAGTCACACAGACAGTCAGAGGTGTAGGAAGAGTCATTCAGTGTGGTGGCAGTGATGGTTTACAACTTTGATGGGTTTGCTACCAGTTGCTATGGCTCACATCACTTTGCAACCAGCAAGTGTAACAATCCATCTCCTCTTCCTGTCATGTTAATAAACAGCGAGTGATCCTAAGCAGCACAGCAGCATAGTGAAATAACTCATGGCTTCACTGTTTATTCACTCAGCACTCAGCTGTGGTTTGTCCCAAAGACTTTGTTTCACTTTTCTAGGAGATGATACAGTACATTGTTGTTTTCTGGAGTCTTATGTTATTTGATATCAGGATAAAGCAGAGAAGGGATCTAAGGACTTCTATTTTACCAGCAGATACAGGTTTGATAGCCTCCAAACGGCACAGTCATTGTGCAGCTTTCTTTTTGATTTCTTAAGACAGAAGCTTTTACCAACTGCTTATCAACCTCATAAAGAGTTTGAAAGTGACCTGCATGACATAGCAGCAAGAGGTCTCTAAGTTACAACATGCTACTGAGGTAAAGAAGCACCGTGTTTTTGGAGATCCCTGTCTTTGGCCCCCCTTCGGACCTGGTACTAACATCTATCCTGAGAGATCCGGTCACATGTGGAGTCCTGAATGTGTCTCCTAATCACGTCCATCATTTGTGTTCGCGAAGAAAAAAATGATGCTGCTGGCCACAAACAAGTCAAATGTGAGCATTGCAATGCGTCACAGACATTCAGATCTCAGGACGAATTGAGGATGTTTCACGTCTATATTTCAGGCTTGTGATCGGATCACTCAAGATGGAAGTTAATACCGGGTCTGCAGTGTCCATGATGGTTCACATTCACACAGAGTCATATTTAAATTAAACAAAAGCTGCCATCTGCGTGGAGCTGAACTATTTATGTAAAACCAGATACCCAGTAAACAAAGGTAAAAAAAAAAAACACTTAGCATCAGCTGTAAATAGTCTTATTATTTACAGTCAAAGTGTCCAATTTGTCAACATTATGTGATGCAGATGCAGTAAAAGCCGTCAAGTATGCAATCTCAGTCCGAAGGCGCTCATGAGCTATTGCTGATGGTTGAGAAAGTCTGAGAGATTCAGTTTTAGTGAGTGCTGCTAAGGTGTTTGGCCCTTTTGCAGAAAGTCACAACCGATTCTGTTTGAGCCTGTCGATGTGGTAGCAGAGTTTGACCGCAGGGCCCAGCTTCAGTCCCAGGTACTTCATCATCATCTCGCTTTTCAGCAGGAGCAGAGCGTCTCCATCTATCTCCTGAAACACATGCAGAGAGACTTCACTGAGATCTACAGTATAACACACATTTTACCTGCGGGTTGCGTGGTTAACTTTACACGTGCAAAAGTAAAATCGTACAAATATTACATGCTGGGGTGGACAGATCTGTTTTCCATCAGTCGATGGCCATGGGCTACAATATAAAGTCACTTGGACTCACATGTTTCCTGAAGGCATCGGCGTGAGGTCCCAGGGCTTGGGGGTCTGCGTCTTTGATAAACCAAACCACCTCCTCCACACCCCAGCTCGATGGGTCTTTACCAGCAGGACGCTTGCACTCTCCAGAGTCCGGCATTGAGCTGCAACCTATGTATCACAGAGAGAGGATTTCATTACCAAATGCTGAACATCATGGGAATCCAAATGACTTTATTTGGTTTCTTACAAAGACTCTGATGAGAATATAGATACAACTCTCATGTCTGTGTATGAAATTCTCACAAAATTGTCATTGCTGTGCGACCTGCGGAGACTTTTGTCACTTTTACAGATTTCTTGCAACTTCTTTCATAATTATCTTTAGCCAATTTTCTGTGGAAGCAATACTAAGGAATATGCATTGTTTATGATCAATGAAGATGGTCAAGAGTGTAGCAATCTTTTTAAAGGTTTCCCTCGAGCCTCACCATTTCTGTTAGCGTCCTGGAAGCTTCCGGGGCTCGACGCCTGTCTGCACACAGCCATCGGAGTAGAGCAACTACTGCCACGGTAACCATAAGAGTGCTTTGTTTGGTACTGTGACGTCATGACATTGAAGGCCGAGTCACTGGGATCGATAGCGTAGCGCTTGGAGTCCACTGGTGGGTCACACAAGAAGTCATCAGGCATTGGTGTCTCCGCTGGAGAAACAACAGGAAGTGAAAGGCCATGAGGAAAATATTGTCTTTTTAGTATGGTGATAGGGTAGATAGAGGTTTTGTGCATGGTGGTACAGGCATTGATTTCCATTTAGCAATAAAATAACAACTTTGTACAACAGATGACCATGAAGAATGTTGAAGCCAAATTATAGGCTGGATAAAAAGATGGACGGCATGACGGCTCTTTCTATCATTTCTGGTAGACTTTGGTTCCAAATGTAATATCTGGGATATTTTGGCTTCATCTCTGGATAGCGGGAGGAAGACATGTCATCCATCTTTAAAAACACAGTATATATAGTCTAAGGTTTAAACACAAACAATTTACCTTTCCGTCCGACCAATAAAACATCTGCAGACTTACATGCTGCAATAGAGAGGAGTTACATTTTCCATATCCTTCAAATACTGAGTAATGATAATAGCTATTAATAATAAAAAACAAAATCTTGAAGCTCCTCAGTCTGTTACTGTGTGGATGTGAAACAAATAAAAGGTTGTCAGGAATTATAATGAATCCCCTTTCTTTGTTCAAATTCAGTTTTTAAGCTAAGTAAAGCAGAGCAGCTAAAGATTTTTAAACTGGGAAATACTCCAATTAGTTGAAATTGAATCACCTCAACATTTTGCCACACAAAAGTCTAATGTATTGTATTATCCTCTAAAAGGTCGGTTGGTGAAAAGATCTGCATGTGATGTGATTGTGGAGGGTTATTTACAGACCTGCCTTTAAATCTTACAGTCAACCTTCATATTTCAATATGAATACCATCATTTTATTGCATTTTTAGATCCTAACCTTTCAATTATTCTTAAATATGAAAGAAGAAAATATCAGAATTTATAAAAGATTATACTCAACATAGACAGTATCCCAAATAGTATGTTTAAAATGCAGGGACTGTTTTTGAAAGGCTTCTCCAATTCTACCAGAGAAGCGACATGCACACTGTATCTGTCTGGGTGGCACCACAGGGAGTAAACTGGTTTTGATGTGTGTGAGTGTGTGTGTGTGTGT